AGGGATCAAAACCCAAAAGGATCAATGGAGGCCTCATAGTAACACATTACACAAGCCCAGATGAGATATAAGGAATCTAGAAAGGCAAGATCCAGAAGCTCCGTTGTACTTCCCAACAAATGTATAGCTCCAAGTGATAATAACAAGACAATTTCGATATATATTAAAAAAAAAAAAAGACAATTTCAAAGTAAGAAAATGCGAAATCGAAGTGGTAAATGCCCCCGGCTCACTTTAGCATCAATCATTTTTCTAGCCTGGTTTACTCTGCAACTTCTCTTCCAGTTCCTACTTTCCCAATTCACATCATCTTCTTTTTCTCCCTGAATTTTATTCCCTTTTGTTCTAAAAATTACAGAATTTGCCTATCTGGGAAGCTCCGTTCTCATGAAAAGTTTGGAAATTTGGATCATTTCGTTTCTGGGAACTAGCTTCGGTTTTTCAGGTAAAAGTGATGTGTCTTTGATTTCGGCTTGTTGATTTGGGGTTTTCCCTTGATTGGAGCTGTACTTGTTGCCTTTGTTTTCGAGAGAAAATATGACTTTAGAAAGAAGGAAATCTGGGCGATTTTTCTCGGAAAGAAGTATCACTTCTCTTTGCATGATAAGTAATTGGAATATTGGTGGAAAGTTGATTTTTGGTGATGATCTGGTTGTCCTATAATATTCTATAATCTCTACCCTTCAGAAAAACTGGAAAGAAAGATTTTGGGGGCTGATTCAGGAACGTGAATCATTGAGTTAGGATTTAGGAGTTAATGATCTTGCTGTCTTAAGGCTTGTTGTTTGAAGCTAGGAGGTACATCCTTTTCAGTCTATCTTTTAAGGGAAATATTAGTTCTGTGGCTTTACTTCCTAGCAATTCCATTTTATTTTGAAATGGATGACACTGAGGATGATGCAAAGTATGCCCCTACCCCATATGATGTAAGTCATCACCAAGGTTATGGTTATTTGAATGGTCAGAAACTTCCAGTTGGGAGCTCTCGACATTCGCTGCCAGTTAGAAGTGAATATGCTGAAGATGATAATGATTATGAGGAAGAAGATGACGGAGAACAGTTAGGACAGGAAGAAGATGATGATGATGGTGATGGTGATGATGAAGACAATGATCAAGGTAATGGTATTCATGTTCCCCAGAAAGATGGCATGACAATGGTGGTGAAGAAGAAGAAGAAGAGAATGGAGATGGGGATGATAGTGACGATGACTCTGATGACGATGATGATGATGATGATGATAAGCAGAAAAGTTACACCATAAGGATTGAAGATGATTTAGAATCTCACCCAAAAAAGAGAAAGCTGAAGAGTTTGATTTCAACTTATGAATTTGCACCCCGTGTGCCTGCACCTGCAGTTGCAGCTCCTTCAGCTCCTAAACCAGCGTTTGGTGGTAGAAATGCCCTTACTGACTGGACTGAGCATGAGACATTTGTTCTTCTTGATGCTTGGGGTGACCGGTTTATTCAACGTGGAAAAAAAAGTCTTCGGTCTGAGGAATGGCAAGAAGTTGCAGAAAGGGTAAAAGAAGTTTCAAAAACTGAAAGGACAGATACGCAGTGTAGGAATAGACTCGATACATTAAAGAAAAAGTACAAAAAGGAGAAGGCCAAATTAGTAGAAATGGGTGGTGGAACCTGCAAATGGGTTTATTTTAGTAGGATGGATAAGCTGTTGTCCTCTCCTCAACAACAAGCTGGTCTATCTTGTGGTTTGGACTCAGGAGAGTATGTTTTCTCGAACCCTAGAGTTTACTTGAACCGTGCAAATGTGTTTGATGAAATGAGGGATAGTCCAGGGAATTCAGAGTCTACTGGTGAAGAAGATTCGGTTGGGCTCCACCCAAAGAAAAAAAGTTCTAGAAAGAACAATGATGAGACTTCTTCCTTCAAATTACTTGCTGATTCCATTCAGAAATTCGGTGAGATATATGAGAAAATTGAAAACAACAAAAGGCAACAGATGGTGGAACTAGAAAAGATGAGGATGGATTTCCATAAAGAATTGGAAATGCAGAAGAGGCAAATTTTCGAGAAAGTGCAGAACGAGATTGCAAAACTGCAGCAGAGAGATGAGGAGGAGAATGACGAATCTGCTGAGAATGGTATGTAATGTGATGTTTATACATTGTTGTTCTGTTTGTTTCGTTGCATAGTATGTAGACAGCTAGCTGTTGTACTTGGTATTATATTCTGGGCGTTTTGCCCCTTCAAATTTATGATAAGGCAAGACTTTTGCCAGGAATGTTACACGGTACAAAGAATACCGAAAACTGAATAGTCCATACTGTATTTTTATTGCCATGTTTAGGTTCAAGTTTAGCCTAGTCTTTTGCTTATTGCATAAGTAGTTGCCTGTTGTTGGCTTGTTATGGGAAGCTTTTGCCACATTTCAATCTTATTTGTACTAAATAGATGCTTCTTTTGCAATCCTTCTGATTTCCATTTCCCTTATTGGAGTTTTCATTCTCAGTGAAACTGTCCATAACTGTGTTAAATGAAAAAGAGTCAGCTTCTGTTAGAATCAAATGTCATTGCCACAAGAAAAGATGTAGATCCCTACTTAGAAGAAAGATATCTGAGGCTGTAGTTGGTGATATTGAATACCAAGGTTTTGTTTGGTTCATAGAAAGGTTGGTAATTGAATAGAATGGGATATTCATTACCTTGAATGTGTTTGGTATGGTGTTAAGAATATGGGAAAGGAGCTTATTTTTAGTATTTTATTAAATGAAAATAAAAATAAATGTACCATAATGCCCTTATAAAGAAGAGAGAATGACAGATAAGCTCCCGATAAAATTTTCTAAAAAATAAGGTGCAAATATTTATTCAAATAATATCAAATTCAGAAGTTCCAATTGTAAATAAGACATTTAAATTCTAAATTTAACTATCAGTTTGCAATTGGTATTTCTGTTTACAATTATCCAAATCCATATTTACAACTCATTTTTATAAAATTTTGTGGGGAATCTAACTATCATTAATTTTCTCTTTTCGGATTTTATTATCATTCTCCCTGAATGAAAAGAGCAAAAGAGTGGAGAAAGTATAGTTGTGTGCCAATGAGAATTGGTGCGAGTGGGAATGAGATTGAATAGACTTTCTTGAAGGTGGTCCCATTTCATGAAATCTAAGGATAAGTCTTTCCATGAGAACTGTGATTCATACCAGAAAAGACAAAGCAAGAGAATTAGATATAGGAATAAAATCTTAATCTCTAAGGGCTGTTTGTTACTAGAAAGGAATGGAATTGAATGAATTGGAGAAATGAAGACAAAAATAAAATGATTAAGATTTGAAAAGGAGATAAGTCAACCTTATTCAGAGAGATTAGGATAATTTAATTTATGAAAATAGGAGTCATGATTCATGATGTTTGTGAAGAGTGTGATGATTCTTACATTTGTATTATATGATATTGAATTTTATCATGCTTACCATGGCTATGAAGATGAGGGTAATTTAATTCATTTTTTTATTTATATTTATTTAATCCATTACATTCACTTTCTTTCCAGCATCCAAACGGCTCCTAAGAGTGAGTTATGAAGGAATTGAGCCAAATAGTTCTAAGTACTTCTTTTATTCAGCTTCAGCAATTCAAAGATTTTTCAACTTTAGATGATTTGGTTTTAGTCTCATCATATGATATGATATGATTCCAAGTCTTGTTTTAATCAAAGTAGATATTGCTTTTGGGTCTTCTTTACCGGTTACCTTTTTCAAATTGTTGAAACAGGGTACCCTCCGAGTCCAAGGCAAACTATGAGTCAGTTTGATATATATGGCTTTTTTTTTAAAAAAAAAAAAAGGAATGAAAAATATAATTTTATAAAGAATATTTCTTTTTGGAAAATGAAAAGATTGGTAGGAAATTATCAGTAAATGCCTTCCATTTCCACAGCATATTTCTTGATTTTCTAACGATTCATTCAGGGTTTAACTTCTGACATCACAAAATTTAGTTCTTTCATGGGCTCAGATTACCTAAAGAATTTTTTTTCAAAGATAGGAGGTTTTCAATTTTTAATGGTTATGTTTTGTCCGTAAAATAAGATGAAATGAAAAGGAGCATAAACTGAAACATTAATTTTATGGGTGGGAATTATAGTGTTCTTAAACGGAAAATAATAATAAAATTAATGCTTTTGAATAATATAACAACAACATAAACATGATGTGGACTAATTTTGCCTGTGTCTCAAAGGAAGTCTATTATATAGTTCAATTTGTTAAAAGAAATCTCAATTCAATTTTTACTTTTGTTAATGAAGTGAATTAAAATTTTTCACTCCTCTTTATAGGGCAATTTACAATATCACTTGATGAAAGAGTAATTATTAGATAATATTATGGCATATTATATATCAAAGAAAGTTTTCTTTAAAAAAAAAACTTACAACGAGGGCAAAGAAACTATATGACTCAATTTTTACTTATGCCATGGGATGTGATTTCCAATCCCCTGCGTCTCAAAGCTATCACTATTTTTCTTACAAAATTGAATTGACAGTGCTTTTTCCATATTTGTGCATTTACTATACTAATAACGCAGTTTTTTTTTTAAAAAGATTAAAGTATTTTATGATTACTTTATTCAAGCCAGTAAGCCTGACAATCTATTGAAAAAAAAAAAAAAAAAAAAGTAGCACATGCTAGAAATAATAATACGGCGGGGAAAGAATGAACATTTTATATCCGGAAAACGGGCCCTTTAAAGATTTAGCGAGAGAACGCATTTTGAAGACGCAATCCATGAAACGGGGGGAAAACATTTCTTTCGGTTGTTCACAAGTCCTCCTGAAACATTCTATAATCGCTTTCCCTAACCCTAACTTAAATCTGTTTATGAGTTCATAATGATTGTATTGAAGCAAGAAATTCTATTCTACGCAAATGACTCTTTTTCCCTTACTTTGTAAATACTTGTAATCTTTCTTCCTACAATCAAACATATAGCATAAAACATTAATAAGTTGTTGTACCGTACAGAAAGAAATGGAAGTAAATTCTTTGAAACCAAAGCTACAGTTTAACTCAAGAAATCATACACAAACTTTTAAGACCTCGATGGACTCGGCCTCTTCCCATCATTTGGGAAAAGTAGACAACAAGCACTATAGATTTCCCTTCCAACCCTTCTTTGGGTTTGAAAAAAAAAAAAAAAGGATTTCAAATACCACCACAGTAATAACTAAATACCTGTAATCACCCAACAGAGAGGGCACTAAACCAAACATCCAGCAGCCACTCACTGCTATAACCCCCCCTCCCCAACTTCACATTCTTTTACATAGAAAAATTACGCAGTGCCTGAATTTTCTGACTTGTCAGTCTCCATCGGTTCAGTAGGTGCTGGTGGGGCCTGGTCTGCATTGTCGCTCGCGTCACCATCTTCCTGAGGTTGCTGCTGCTCACTACCCGGAGAAGGAGGCGGCGGGGTACCTGTCGCTTCAGGAGTAGCTGGTTTGGCTGGTCTCGGTTTTGTCATAATTGGCTTACAGAATCTGTTGAAACAAATACACAGTTGAAACCGGAATAGATGAATATCAAACACATGAGGAAATCACCTTGCAGCAAAAGAAAGGAACTAGAAAATATAAGCAACTTTATGAGTAGGTTCAACAACCCTGTCCAACTCCAGAAGTTCACAAGCAGCAATTAGGTTCAATCCTCAATTCAACTACTACCTTAAATACGAGTAATGACATTAGTGACACTTGACAGTTGCAGAAAAAAGCTCAATCCTAAAGCAGGCTGCTAACCTAACGTTTGGCTAAATAAAACAGCCAAAAGAACAGAACATAAGCATGATTTGAATGCATCTTGAGAGAGGCTGGTTCGGTGAGCATTATAAAATGCATTGAACAAAACGACACAAAAGGATCACAACAAACGTAGCAAAAGAAAAGAGCATAGGAATAGCAAACAGGCAGGAGTCCACACCATCTAAAAACACCTGAACTAAATGCAACCAAACCAACAGAATGAACAATATCACATACCTATTAACCGCCTCAGCTTTCTTTCTTACTTCAGCTGACAAGAGTACAGGGGTAGCATGTTTTGGAAGAGAGTCCTGGTGCTGCTTTTTCTCCCTAAGCCAAGCCTCAGCTTCAACACATTCATTCAGAACCTACAAACAAATAATTAGATACAGTTTCAAGAGCCACCAACAGAGACGTGTGGGTATAAAAATAGACAATTTACCTTCTGTTTCTCAGAAATGTCAATGTGATCAAATTTGGGATCGTTTGACATTGCAGCTTCCCTGTAGCTATTTATACAATAGATCAACTGACTGATTACTGTGCCCCTCTCCATGTATTCCTTGTAACGCTCTTCAATTGGATCACCTTGCTGCAATTGGATATAATTAGATTGCAAATTCAAACTACCATGAAAATGCCTCGTGGTACTCATTTTTGTACACAACAAAGGTAAAGATGATGTTTAAACGATCCTGATTATTTCTAATTCTTTTCACTTTTTGGTTAGAGGGGCGGGGATGGAACTTTTGCTTTCTGAAAATTTCTTACCTTCTTAAGTTCCTCGAGTTTGGCAACATAAACACCTTTAGTTTCATCCTCACCATCTTCATATAACCAGTCTTCCACCTCCTGAAGTCTAGCAGTAAGTGCCTCTCTCTCTGAATCAGTGACAAACTCTTGGTATTTGTCACTGAGCTGAAGTGATGAGAGTGACATTAGTTCCAGAAATCATCAAAAGACAGGCATATACATCAGATGTAAGGGTAAATAAAGGAATAATATCCCACCTTGTTCCTCATGTCATAAACATAAGCTTCGACTGCATTTTTCTTTTCTTTTGTTTCTTCCATCACTCGATCTTGCAAAGCCATTTCAAACTCCTTCTCTATGGCTTTCTGGACATCTGAATGACTCATTGCTCCATAGACCAACTCTGTCACATGTATGTTTGTTTTCCTGACCTTTTTCTTTGGAGCCTCAACCTGCCATTGTAGGGGGGAAAGGCCAGTCAAATTGCAACATATTGTTTAACGATGCTTGAATGCTTATTTGAAGTACAATCTCCAACAAGTGAAGCTTATAAAACAAGCATGGTTTTGCATAACAGAGCAGTTATGTGAAGAGTAGACTTAAATTCCACTAAAGCAGGAATTCATATTTTGCATCCATTGCAGAAAAAATTCAAACAAAAGAAAATCCACAGTAAACCCAAAAATGTAAAACTTCTATTAAAGATTTTTCAATTGGAAAAGGCACAACAATTATCAGTAAAAGTGAATTTGTTTAGATAGCTTTAACTGCTGCAATATCAGGTTACCTATTAAAGTTAAATTAACTACATAAACTTGATGATGATGCATAATGCATGGCAAGATGGGAGAACAGTGCATATATCTATATAACTAAAATAAAATAGAAAAGTAAAATAACTTGTACAAAACTTTTAAATTGTAATAACTCCAACAATCATCCAAAATCCCATAAATCGCAAATGCCATCCTCCACAATTCAAACTTATTAAAATTGAAATCTATCAATTTATTTGTCCATAAGTCCATAATCATAAATATCATAACTGATATCCTTCTTGTCATCCCGTTTGGTTTCATTCCTGTAAAGCCCATTCTTAGTAATCCCCCTTCTATTCCTAGCTGAAAATAGTTTGGATGCCAAAATGAAGTAGGAAAGCCCCAAAACCAATGCTCACTGGATTCCCTGAAAAGTCTGAATCCTCATTCCATTAATTGTTCCATGAACCAAACAGGCCATAAAGGAATCTATGATAAAGAGATTGCAAGTTGCCAGAGGGAAAAAGAAAAAAAGAAAAAAAAAACCTGACCGTTAAGGTGGGGAAATGCATAGGATAAAAAGAGATTCAACAAAAATAGAAAAGGAAGCATTCTATAAAGTTGTTATACGATCATAAATAGCAGAGATGCTTCCCTTGGGAACCATTGATAACTGTAATCTCACCATCCTATTCACAATCACCAAGCATTCTATTAAAGTAACTACCAATTTAAATGAGTTGCATTTTATATTGTCACAACCTCCAGAAGTCCGAAAACCACAAGATATTGATACAAGATTATAGTAACAAATTATGATCTGACTGCAAATTAAAAATAGCTTTAATTAAAATCTAAAACCTGAAAATATGCTTGTATGCCACAGTTATTAATACCAACCTTGATATCAGTATCCATCTGCACAGGCTTATCTCCAGTCTCAGGCTTGCCATTTTCCATCCCAGGGGTGTCAACAGCTGCCTTGGCATCTTGCATATCAACATCCGCATCATTGGAGCTTGGAGGTGCTGCAGCAGCCTCTGCTGCAGCCTCAGCAGGAGTTTCATCAGTGTCCATCTTGGCACGTTCTCCAGATGGTACTTTGACCACTGGAACCTCAACTTCCTCCTCCTCCAGGAGCTAAACAGAATAGAAAAACATTAAACCAAATGAACAAATATTCTACACGTTACTACAGGAACCCACAGTAACCTCACAATAAAAGTCACAGAACAGGGGGGAAATTAGCAATCACAACCATAATTACCCATAGCCTAAAGAAACTTACAGTTGCTGACTCAACAGATGCAACTCCATGCAGATTCAATCGTACTTTCACTTTAACTTTTGCCTTCTCAACTTTTGTAGGTGGGAAAGGGCCAATCTGCGTACAATCAAGGGTCAAAGATTGTCCATGAAAAAGGAAATACATCACATAGGAAAAAGTAAACGCCTTACAGTATATGTGCTGATCTTTGGAGGTGCTTGCAGCTCACTCATATCAGCATATTGTACATCAACAGAAAAGGTTTCTGACCTATAGAATGTCAGAGCCTTGATGCTTGGTATGACATTTCCTTTAGAGAAAACAACAGTACTCATCTGATTATCTGGTCCACTCTCCTGTTGGTCTGGACCAGAGCCTTTCCATGACAGAGAAATTGGGAAAGGAAAGCTTTCGTTGACCTTCATATCCATTAACAAAGATAAATCAGATGCAAAATCAAGAATTTGTATAATTCAACATGAACTACGACTACAGAACAATAGTCATTAAAGAGCATAACATATGATAAAATCATAATTCCTGAAAGCCTAATTTATCAGACTAAATAGAACATGCAATTTAAATTTAAATTTAATGAATTCTTGAGCTGTTCAATCCTAATAAAATGTGGAAGTTTCAAATAGGAGGGCATAGAATTGGGGGGAAAAAAGGATAGAACGAGACTGGGAACCGTGCTCTTGTTTGAAACATAGAGAAGGGGAAGGGGAAAGTAAGCTTTACAAATATTTGTTATTCAAGTGTGTATGTGTTTATTGTGTTGGGGGAGGCATCCCTCTTTCCACTCTTAAATATGGAGAGAAACCAAAATGCGGTGGTGGGCCAAAGAGGGGAAATTATTTCCCTCCAACCACCCAATTCTTATAATCTCCATCAAGGGATCAACATAGGTGGGGAGCAGGAGGAATCCAAACACACTGCACAGTCCTAACTGTTTAACAGATGCAGATATAAAAGGCGAGGCAAAATCAAAACAGGCATGCGCAGCCAATCACCAAAAGCTTCATAGGGGCTGGGGAAAAAATTACCTGAAACTCTCGTACTTTAAATGTTGGACTAAGAATAGCAGATTGCAAGGCACAACCCTTGGCAACACACTCACTTGCATTCATTGTCCGCCTAGGCTCCTTCTTGAAAAACTCTGTCAATATCTTGTTTATAGCTGGTACACGAGAACCTGAACCAATTACCTCAACCATATGAACATTCTCAACTGTAAGACCTGCTTCTGCAAGGGCATTCTCCAAAGGTTTTTTAACACGTTCCAATATTGGAACACTTAATTTCTCAAATTCATCACGCTTGATGAAGCCCCTAACATCTTTCTCGTCCATTAAGCACTCAATGTTAAGAGGTGCTTCAGGATTTGCACTGAGCATCTTCTTCAGCTTCTCGCAAGCAGCTCTCAGCCTTAGACAAGCTCTGGCATTCTGGAAAACATCAATCTTGTACTCTTCCCTGAACTTTGCGGCAAAGTGTTGGAACAAAACTTCATCAAAATCCCTACCACCCAGAGATCTATCAAATGAATGAGCCAAAACTTTCAGCTGCCCCTTCTTAAAGCCAGCAATGCACACCTGCATGCTGGAATGTCCAACGTCAACAAATGCAACATTCAGTTGATCATTTTCAGGGAGATCAGTCTTATAAATTCCATAAGCCAAGGCAGTTGCTGTCGTTTCATGAATCAGGCGAAGTGGGCGCAAACCCGCAATGGTAGCTGCATCCAAGACTGCTCTTCTCTGAATATCAGTGAAATAAACTGGAATTCCGATGCAACAATCAACAACAGCTGCACTGAGATTTTTCTCAGCTATGCCTTTGAGATTTGACAACACCATTCCCAAAACTTGTGTTGGTGTAAATGTCTTATTTTCACCCAAATACCGTGCATGTATTAATGGATAACCATCAGGCCCTTCAGTTACCACAAAAGGCAACAACTTCAAGTCCTGCTGCAACTCTGGATCAGAGAATTGTCTACCAATCAGTCGCTTGATCTGGGAGATTGAATTCTTTGGGTTCATCATAGTAGATGACGCCCCTGCTGTTCCAATAAACCGTTGTTTGTCACCAAAACATACAACTGCTGGAGTTTCTCGTTTGGACTCATCATTGAGCACGACATCAATTCCTCTCTGCCTTGCAACAGCAACAATACAGCTCTCATTACCCAAGTCAAAACCAACCACGCTCATCGTTGCAAAAACTGAAATGATCCCCCGGCCTTAGGTCTGTTAGCCAAGAAGAATATCCGAACCAAAAAAAAAAAAACATTACATTTATGTCCGATTTTTGTCCAATAAAGTAAGGAAACTGACAAAGAGAAATGACCATGCAGACATAGAGAAATGCCATGTGGGCGATAGTAAAGATAGGTCTGTACTAAAAGTGTAATGACTATAAATTAATTGCCTCATAAAGTAGCTAAAATATTTTTTTTGTTTGGAGGGAGGGGTGTGTTCTTAATTACTTTACCATGACGAAACCACATGCCTAAGAAATTCGGTAAATGTGATAAAACTAACATCAGTAAGAAATTGCCAACATCAAGAAGCATATGACACGAAAGTAGCTATTTTAAGCATGCAAGCCTACCAGTTAACGTGCTTAGAACTCAAATCAAACGCATTCAATCAAAACCGAGCAAAAGGAGAGGGGAAAAACGAATGCTTTGAAGCTTGAACTAAATCATGCCCCCACCCACACTTATAACAACCAATCAGAAAATACAATGCATAATACCAACTGCCACGGATGAAGCAGGAACAACAAAAAATTAAAACTTCCAATAAATGCAAACATTATTAGATACGACCACTGATTAATGCAGGGAAAAAATGCACGGAGACATAAGCACGACGAAGTCACAGATCTACAATCTCAACAGGGATCAAAGGAACCTAAAGCACCATGAATCACCTAGAAATAGGAATAGGGATTACCTGGCGCAGCGATCCAAGAGATGAGGAAAAGGGGAGAGCTTCTGGAACAATCTGAAACCTTGGACGACTAAAGCACCAATAAGTCGAGTCGATGAGACTTAAAAAGAAAGCCAGAATAGCGAGTGTGGGGAGGCGTCGTACGGAGATGTCGAGTTCAGGTTTTAATTTTAATTTTATTTTATGAAATCAAAAAATAACACATCTTTTATTTTTTTTATTTTTTATTTTTTATTTGAGTGAAGCCAGAGATCTGCTGATCTGCTCCATTGTATTGGTCCTCGGCTGGAGAGATCTGGAGAATGACGTAGCTCTTCTAGAAACATCTACTGCTGAATTTTCTTTTCCATTTTCTTTGCGTCTAAATTTGGCCAGAAAAAATGAAAACGACTAAATACTGCAAGAAGTTGGACTATGATGGGCCCATCATGGGCTTTCTATATGTTCAGGATCAGTGATTCTTATATCTCTTTTTTAAACAAAGGAAACTGAAAAATTCACCGAAAGTTATTCAGATTCTTGTACCAAAAATAAACTCTTTTTACGAACAGTAATTAATTAAATATTTAGGGTGAAAATAAGTAAATCAATATATCAATTCAATATATAATATTTAATATATTTAAAATGTGATGTAGAAGTTCTAGGAATCTGGTCAAAAAATATGTATGTCATAAAAAGTCAAGCTATTTGTAAATTAAATTATAAACAGTATTTCTCATATTAGACTTTTGATCACCCATTGACCCCGATCCAGGTAAGTATTTCTCATATCAGACTTTGTGTAAACATATAGCCTAATAATCTACAATATACCATCTAGTTTTGACTTTTAATTAATTCACGAAATTTTAGGGTCACGAGTGCACTTAGAAAGCTGAGATAGTGGCCTAAGACCTCTAAATAGATTCATGTATGTGGTTTCAATTTATTCATATTTATTTATTATAGTTTGCATTCTAAAAACAAATAATGATTATTTTTTTAATGAACAAAACAAATAACGATTGCTAATGTTTAATTTATATCACCATCAGGAATGATCCAACAAAAATGACTACTCACTTATAATATGATAAATTAATGTTTTGAATTTTCACTAAAATATGTGCCTACATTTAGTGCTCAATTTTCTTTCAAACATAATTGTCTCCAAAAGAACATCTATACCCAATAAAAAAAACTTTATATTCTAAAAAAATCTTATTTTTATAATTATTCATTCATCTCTCACAATTAGTTTTCAAACTGAAAACTCTTTTTCATTTTCGAGTGAAAATGGAACTATACATTAATAAAAGGTGCAAAAAAAAAAAATACAAGAGAAAGTACAAACAAAAGAGCCAACACCGTTTACCATTCACCTCACAAAACAGGCCCTGAAAAGGTTGATGATCAAAGGAATCAAAAGAAACATCACCAGAGGATCCTAAGCTTAAGAGTTTTGTAGGCAAAATATTATCATTACAAGAAAAAACTAAAGAGAAATGTTCGTTATGGAGAGTGAGTTATGTCTCTCAAAATGTCAAAACAAGAATACTAAGCAGCTGTATATATTCATCGTAACCATAAGATTTAGCAATAAGCTGTACATCAATCACATCATCATCAAAAATTTATGCCTGTTGACCCAAAGATCCCAGCATTGTTAGATTCCAATTTAGCCATTGAGAGACCTATTAGAAAATTTGTACCAAAGATCATTACTGAATAGTTATTCCCACGTTTTTGTTGCAACACAATCTTCAAATAAATGTACTGCATCTTCAGTACACGCACAACCTCGATAACATAGATCAAAGTCAAATAGACCTCTCCTTTGTTTGTGCCATCAGCCATAAGAGCATTTTCATTTTTTTCAGGGACTTGAAGGCTCCAAATGTTACTCCAGTTGAAGTCAACTTCTCTTGTTGAACCTGTATTTAAGGAAAAATAAGCAGATCTAATAGAAAAATTACCATCATTAGAGGTTATCAAACAAAGTATTCTCTCTTGCTCACATTCACTCTAGGCCTAGTATGAGTAAGTATATTCACAATATTAAGAGGAAATAGGACAATCAGTTTAGACTTATTCTAATCCCTTGATGAGAATCACAAGCAAGACAATATAACTATTAGAGATAAAATCCAACCTAAGGTCTGTGATGTTCAGCCCAACACTGTCAAGCCTAAAACCCTTTTTCATTTATGTGTAAAGACTAATATGCCCTAATCCTTATCCTAAAGGTTTCTAGAATTCTGTAATCCTAGAGCTACTTATCTATCTTTATGCACCTATATCACCTCTCACCCTTACTCACTCTCTGTATATATTATTGTCTTAGGATACTTTGAAAAGCAAGTGGTAATACAATGAATTATTCAAAATGATTTTTCTTGTCTTTTATATTTTGTACTTCATCATGGTATCAAAGCTATGAAAATCATAATGGCTTCGGTGCTTCCACCTTCTACTACTATTTCTTTACCTTCATCATCTTCTTCCTCTCCTTTTCATTTTATTTAATTTCTATTAAACTGAATCATGATAATTATACTTTATGGAAAGCCCGGATGGTGCCTTATTTATATGGCTAGCAATTATTCTTTTTAGTTGATGGTTCATATCTTACACCGGTTCTCACCACCATTGATAAAGGTGACCCGAATCCAGAGTCTACAAAATGGTTTCAATTTGATCAATATGCTATCTTTGTTATTATTTCTTCACTCTCTGAGTCTCTCATTGGCTAAGTGATTAAACACAAGACCTCATGATCAATGTGGATGGCTCTTGAAAAGATGTTCACTCAAAAAAATCAAGCTTGATTCTTGCATTTACACAATCAAATCACTAATCTTAAAAAAAGGAGGAGATTCAGTTTCTAATTATCATAAACATGCAATGCTCCTATCTGATGCCTTAAGTACTGTTGGTAAATCGATTGATTATTTAAACTTTATCACTTATCTTTTGAATGGTTTGGGTTTTGATTTTGATTCCATTATTGCATCTATCACCACAAGAGCTTTTGATTTAATACTAGAGGATGTTTTGAGTTACCTGCTCTTACATAAAGCTTGACTAAATACTCATAATATGGTTGCCTCTGTCACACTTGAGATTTTAGCTAATCTCAATATTCGAACACCTTGTCTCAATACCTTTCCTCGTGGAAGAGGTCGTAGTGGTCGTCTTTTTTGTGGTAGTCGAGATCATTTTGGTCGAGGATATAGAGGAGGTTGTTCTACTTCTAATGAACCTTGTTCTTTGTGCCATCACTATGGTCACACTATTCATACCTACTATCATCGATTTAATCATTCTTATCAAGCACAAACTCTGCCTTCACTTGCTCAGGCTTACCATAACTCTATCACTATAGCACCTGATGATGCTTGGTATTTTGACATAGGGGCTACTAATCATATGACTTCTGATTTCAGCAATCTCAATATCTATTCTGAACCTTACAAAGGCCATGACTAAGTCCACACATTTAATGGTTCCACTCTTCCGATTGCCCATCGAGGAGTAAGCTAATTTACCAATACCTATGGAAAATTTATTCTCTTTGACTTATTCATGTTCCTACTGTTTCTAAAAATCTTGTTTCTTTTTTTGAGTTTTGCTATGATAATAATGTTTATTTTAAATTTTATGCCTCTCATTTTCTTATGAAGCATCTTCGCACTAAGTAACTTTTCTTCGAAGGCCCAACAAATAGCTCTCTTTCTTTATCAAGCATGACTCCTACTGCCTATCTTAGGGTTAAAACTTTGAAGGATCAATGGCATACTAGGCTTGGTCATCCAACTTATCAGACTGTTCAACACATTCTTTCCAAATATTCTCTACCTTACTCGTCTTCTGTGTCTTTTTCTTTTTGTTCTACTTGTAATACATCTAAGAGTCATGTACTCCCTTATCCCCCTACATCCCACCATTCTCCGTGTCCTTTATGTCTTGTTTTCTTTGATGTATGGGGCCCTACTCCTATTTTGTCTTCTAAAGGATATCATTGTTATATCTCTTTTGTTAATGACTTTATTAAATATACATGGTTCTATCCTCTCAAATTAAAATCTAATGTTGACAAAGTCTTTTTCATATTTCAAGCACATGTTAAAAATTTATTTAATACTAAAATTAAATTTCTTAAGATTAATGGAGGGGGTGAATTTTAGGCCCTTCATTCCACTCTTCACAATCAAGGCATCATTCACAGAATCACCTGTCCTTATTCTCATACTCAAAATGGTACAGTTGAGAGAAAAAATTGTCATATTGTTGAGTCTAGCTTAGCTCTTTTACATCATGCCTCATTGTCTCAAAAATTTTAGGTTCATGCTTTTTCAACTGCAATCTTCCTAATCAATCATTTACCTTCTCCTTCTCTTGGTCATAAATCTGCTTATGAATTACTCTTTTATCATACTCCTGATTATTCCTTTTTAAAAATATTTGGTTGTGCTTATTGGCCTCACTTAAGGCCTTATGTTCAACATAAGCTGGACCCATGTTTTGTGCAGTGCATTTCTATTGGATATCTTGCTAATTACAATCGTTATTTTCATCTTGATGTCAAGACAGGTTGCATTTACATCTTAAGAGATGTTGTGTTTAATGAATCTATTTTTCCCATAACCCAATCTGGCCACCAATCTCGGTCCACTTCTCTTATTTCTATACATCTCTTGTTAATACATTCTCTTTATTACGGTCTAACCTACTTCCTCAACCCATACCTATTTCTATTAACACTCCTCTTCGACCCATTTCTCCAATTTAGCCCAATTAGCCCAATAACTTTCCAACACCTTTATCTCCTTTATCCTCCCTACCTATTCCGTCGGTCCTAGATATTTCTTTTACTGTTAATAAGGTTTTTCAATTCTTACATGCTCCAACTGATGTTCATTGGATTGCTGTTAAGAAGATCTTATGGTATTTAAAACATACTGCTAATTTTGGTTTGTTTATTTGTAAATATCCATCATCCTCTTTGATTGCTTTTTTTGATGTTGATTGGGCTGGTTGTCCTAATGATAGAAGATCCATTGGTGGTTTCAATGTTTTCTTTGGTCATAATTTAATATCTTGGTCAACAAAAAAAAATCCATTGTAGATCATTCATCCACTGAAGCTAAATATTGTTCTTTGGCTCTTGCTACTTGTAATCTTATTTGGCTTCAATCTTTGTTAAAGGAACTGGGTATTTTTCTTTCTACACCCCTTACTCTTTGCTGTGACAACATTGGTGCTACATACTTATTTGCTAATCTTATTATGCATGCTGGCACAAAACATATTGACTTGGATTATCACTTTGTTTGCGAACAAGTTGCTACAAAGACTCTTAATGTCACCTTCTTGGGTTCCGCTGACCAAATTGCTGACATTTTTACCAAACCACTACTAGCTCATCATTTTGAAACTCTCCGATCAAGCCTCACTATCATTTCTCTCCTGTTCAGCTTAAGGGGGGCTATTGGAGATAAAATCCAACCCAAGGTCTGTGATGTTTAGCCAACACTATTAAGCCTAAAACCCTTTCTCATTTATGTATAAAGACTAATATGCCCTAATCCTTATCTTGAAGGTTTCTAGAATTTTGTAATCCTAAGGCTACATGTCTATCTTTATGCACTTATATCACCTTTCACCCTTACTCACTCTCTGTATATATTGTTGTCTCAGGATACTCTGAAAAACAAGTGGTAATACAATGAATTATTTAAAATGATTTTTCTTGTCTTTTATACTCTATACTTCATCAATATTCAATAATCACCCTTTCGTCCAAATCAACCAACCCCATTAGTGAGACCTAATCCATAAAGGAGGTATTCTCCACTTATCTCTTTTGTAAATAAAAGAAAACTAATTTCCTCCTTTGTTTATGACTAGTTTGACTATGGTTTGACCATGTTTTTTTTTTCATTAACTCCTAAACCAATGTTTTTAACTGATTCAATAATTGATTTGATTTTTAGTACCTTAACATTGAAGTATACATCATGTGTGAGTATAATGTCTTAAACATTTGAAGCACACTTTTTAAATACAAGAATCATGATATTGAAGCATGCAAGGGAGGAAATTAGCTGAGTTTAATATAACATATATTTAAGTCACTTTATTTTTTTTTTTTGGCATGAGCTCCGTATCCTAGCTCTTCAACCCGTCACACTAATGGCATCAACAAGCTGCTAGCACCTCTTTGAAGAATGGTCCTCTAACTAAAAAAATTAATAGTTATTGTATATTCAATGTTCAAACTCGAGACCTTTGATTAAAAGGAATCTACCCCCTTACTAGTTGATTCAATCACCCAATGATTATAAGTCACTTTCTAAAATGAGTTGATTATATTTTTTTTAAAAATGTTATATGATTAATTACTTCACTCATAATTTTTTATGAGTAAAGTAAAATGTTACTATGAAAGAGAAAATATGTTTGAAGATTATGCATTTAATAAAATTAAATTGATAATTTTTTTTCCTAAAAGTTATCACATAATTCAATTGTTAATGGCTAGGTGTTCTAGTATTTACTTTACCTTCCTTTTTTAAGAAAAGATCCTAGTTCAATTCCAGCACTAAATTTTTTTCGAAAAAATAACTTAACTATATTTTTTAATTTTGGAAAAGTAATTAGGAATGACTTGCATGAAATAATATCAAAAGGATTGTGTCATCATAAAAAGTATAGTTAATTATCATCATCCTAGGATCAGTGTCCATGAAAATTGCCGTTGATTCTTATTAAATGTCATGTTCGACTTGATGCTTAAAGAGTTGGGAAGAGGAAAAAAAAAAAAAATCAAATCAAAGTGATTATTCCTGTGGGTGAAAAAAAAGGATTGTTACTGAACCCAATCCCGTTTATCAGTTTGACTTTTTTCTATTCCACGAATTGCAACGTGTCTTCGTTCTTCTCCTTCCTCTTGATCTCCCTCCCTGTCCTAAATGTGCGAACACTCCTTGGCTTCGCAGTCGCCGGAGCTCTCACTGGTGATGTTTCACGCAGACCGTTGATCAAATCCACGTAAGCATTCAGGATGAACTTGTATGACTTCCTCTCGTTCAGGTTCAAATAGCAAAACAAGAGCTCTTCCATAAATCCCCAATCCACCCTTCCGTGATTCCTCAACCTCCGGTCCACCATTTCTTTCATAGATCGCCTGAGATCCTCATACTGGCTCACGGAGGACGCCAGGACGACGATACTCTCACGAGAGCCAGAAGCCTCGCTGCAGTCGCCGACAATATCCAGCAAAGTCGAGTCGAACGACATGGATCCTGATCTTGGATCTCTTTGATTTTCTCCAGAAACTCTGTTTGCGATGTTGTTACTACTTGGAATAGTATCTTCTTCGTGCAGGAACAGAGAGTTGAAATTCTCGAAGAGGAAGCGATCGATGTCTGATAGCGTAGCTGCGTTATTTCCTCTGACGATCGCAATGGAATGAGTCTTGGGTTGCTTGCAACCCGAGAGGATCCGGGTAAAGGAAGGAGGAGGGTGGATTTGGGGACGAGGGTTTTTGAGCTTGGAGAGACAATACTGAAAGAATTTCCGAACCTTCATTTTCTGGTCAGTGAACTTTTGAAGCTTCTTCGACATTGTTGAACTCAATGTGCTCTAATTTCTGGATAATGGGTTTGATTGAGGGGAAACGAAGGATGAAGTATATGTATGTCTTTGAACTGTGATCTGGTTTTAAAGAGGTTTATTGACGAAGGAGAATTTTGGCAAAAGCATGGATTTTGTTGAAATTCATGCTTGTTGGTGAATCACCAAATATTAAAGTAAGATTTGAATCCGAATGACGGGTTAGATTCCTTGACTTTCATTTCCATGCCAAGCATCCAAACATGATCTAGGCCTTTCTTTATTATAAAAGGCAATGATGTTTGATATGATCAGCATTAGATGTGGATGTATATTTTAAAAGGAATTCTACTATAATTTGGGAGATCAACTTCTTTCATTAAACCCAAAATTAAGATATTAAAAATATAATTGATTATTGAACTAGTTAAAACAGTAGTTTAAGAATTAATGGTCCAACTAGATGTCAATACATAGTTAGATCAATCATGATTAAAATTACATATTTTAATTGAATATAAAAAAATATTCATATTTAATTATGAAAAAAATAATATTTAAACAAAGAAGTTCTTAATTTTCAAGTAAAAAAAAATCTATCTATAAAATATTTTACATATTTTATACAAATATTAATTATAAGTTTTTGACAATAATAAAAACATTAATTTAAAGTTCAATATTTAAAGAGGAGAGAGAGAAAAGAAATGGGAAAAAATTAAAATAAAAGTGAGCCAAATCAACTTATTACACCTCTGGATTGATCAAGTTAATCTTGGGTTGATCAAGTTAATCCAATTTATAGCTAATTTCTCAATTCAACTCATCAACCAAACTGAATTGGTGACCGATTCATTAGTTACAGTTAGGGGAGTGTTCAACTTTTATCTGTCCCGATTAACTTGGTTTCATCCCAGTCATATCGTGATGGGTCTTCTCCCAACTTGAAAAAAAATCAAGATGGGATTTTGCAGGGTGAGATGGGATATGGAATTGCCCTCGGGATATCCCGTCCTGAATATTATATAGATATATAGATTATTTTTATTTTAAAAATATACATTAAATATATTAATTATATTAATATAATTTATATTTATAGTAATTATAATTCCATTATGTGCTATTCTTATTTAGAATATTTGATTTTATAAATTATAGCACAATACACTTTAAACTAATAAGGTATCGTAAATTTCCCTTTTGAAATTGGCTTTTGATCAAGACAAGTATATGCCATCTTATAATCTTTGACTGTGCAATGCTTATTAGCATTGTTTCACCACACAGCACATATATAATTATACTACACATGAACGGTTATTTATGGAAAGTTAGGATAAATGTTATATAAGAATGTGCTCCTTCTTGCTTATTTATAAAGGAAACAAAGAAATGTTTCTAAAGGAAACAAATAGATTTAGGAGACTTTATACTACATATGATTAGCTAGTTGTTATCATTTGACAAAGTTTTCCTAATATGAGGGGGAAAAATGAGTAGCTAAAAAAGAAAACATATGTAATGCATTATCACTATATCTTATTTAGATCCTCAAATATGAAAATATGAACCAGGAGTTCATCAAAAGTTACGTTCCTAAAATATTACAAAAGTATTTGCCAGATACAATCACTAAACTTGTATGAGAATTACTAAATTTCCTGTTTTAGTTGAAAATGCTCTAATTAGAGTAAATGAAAATGAGACATGCCTGAAGCATAAGAAATTAACCAGTTCCTAATACAAAATTTTGGTAAAAGAGGAGCATGTAATTAAGATGATCATATTGAGGAGGTACACAATCTAGAAAAGGGTTAAGACATAATTGATTCTAAAAGTCCAAGAAGAGGTTCAGGTACCTGAAAGTAATAAAGAGATATCTCTATAAGTTATGTCACAATTGGAGAATGGAACTGAAAAGATAAAGTTGTCAACAACAATTTTGATAATAATATAATGTGATTAAATGAGGATCTTGTATACAAATTTATCATGAAAAGTAGACAAACAATTATTAGCCAAATAGAAAAAAGGCAAAAGAAAAGAATAATGTGAATAGAATTATATTCATTTTCTATATGTGAAAATCATAGGCATGTAGTTCAAACACCTAAAGTGTGAAGTTATTAAGGAATAAATGAACACTTGTGTGAAAATAAAGATTTTCAAAAAGGTCTGATGATGATCAAATACATTATCTTGTGATGAATTTTTGTATATATATAATTAGTTTGGCAATATATAAAATTGAAATATGATGTGAGTCTATTGAATATTATTATAGCCTATTCATATTATTCACTACATAATGAAATTTACATGATAATCTTTGAAAGAGTTAAAAAGCCAAAAGCATGAAAAATTCTTGGGAAAATTATTCAACATATATACATGTTTATATTCTTAAGCTTATATGAATTTAAAATATTTCAAGTGTGTGTGTATCTTAGCAAATATGTTTTAGGTTCTGATCAAAATAATTTAAGAATAAAATTTTGATATCGACTTTACATTCAACTTGTTGATTGAGTATTTAATAACAATGGTTATAAAATCATTATGCTATATTTATTTTGTTTGCAAGACTATATTAAATTGATCGATCATGAAGTACCATATTTTTAAATATTTATACATTCAACTAATATTGTATAATTTTGTTGACAAATTTGAGTTTCTAATGAACTAATAGATTAGAAAAAGAGATATGATATTCTGAGAAAAGCGCTATATCTTGAAAATATGTTAGAGAAATATATTTTCAAAAAGTTATATATATATATATATATATATATGATAACAATGCATCTAGCATGATTCAACTAGAAGTAAGACTTGCTTGGAAAAATATTGATAACAATCACATTTGAGAAATTAGCATATTATCTCAAAGTACAATGATTTAAAAGTGATGTTGTCACAATAGGAAGTAAATGGGTTTTTGTCCCACAGGGTTTTCCCTAGTTGAAGTATATAGTAGACATTCAAAGAGGAGTGTTATGAATATTAAGAGTCATATAGACATTCATCTCCCTCACCCTTTCATCTTCTCCCTTGAAATCCCCACCATTTGATGAGTGTTGATTACCCTTTATTCTTCATTATATCACTTGTGTAACCCTTAATATAAGATTATGCTTATAAATAGGGTATATTATTTGTATTGTAAAGAATGGAAGAGAATATAAGAGAAGTTATCCTCATTTCTATTGCTTATATTCTTCACCTTCTCTTTGTTCTTCTCATTTATAGTCTCTAAATTTTATTCATAACATGTTAAACATATTACAAGTCTGCAACTACATGGTTTTTATTTGACAATAAATGAAAGGGAAAAAATTGAGGGAATGACCTCAAATTAATGAAATATATCATGAAAAGATTATAGTTTTTATTTTCAATTAAAATACAATAATTATAAAAATAAATAATGGAAAATGACTCACAAATTTAATTAAGTAAAATTGTGGGTAAAAAAAGAATTTAAGTAAAATTTTACTTGTGAATCAATGAAAAGTGAATTGTAAATGTATAGATAATTTTATGAATTTATATATCATTGTTTATGAATTTAAGAATAACTTGTAAATTACAAGAAGGTTACTAGTAAATTTATAAAAGTTCAATTGTGAATGAATATAGATAGTCTCAAGGTTGTATACATTATTACCACTTGTGATTTAGGAATAGTTAATTGTAAATTTAAGGACTATCATTTATGAATATATGAAATGTCACTTGTAAATGGATAAAAATGTAGCACTAATTAAGAACCCTGCCATAGTTTTAAGCAAGGAGAATTGCACTGTAGGCATCAAAAGTGCAAAAAACTGTACTGCAGGCTCAGTATTATTTTGTTATTGCACTGTAAGCTTAAGGGCCCTTGTTGTAATTTTTCTTAGGAGTGAAAGTACAATTTTGCCTTTATGTGATTTGAAAACTCAAATCATGCATAATACAATGTCCATCGATACACAACACAATGTCCATGTATGTCTAATTGATCAATAGGTTTAATAAAATATACAAGTGACACACACAATATCCAACACAATGTCCATAGATGTAAAACACAATGTTTATGCATTCTCAACTAAATGTCCATGCGTGGATACACATGGATATCATATTGAGAATTCTTGAACATCGTGTTCTGCATCCATAGACATCATGTTGTGCACCATGGATATTGTATTGTGCATGCTCTATGTGGCTTTATTTTAATTAACCTAAAGATCAACTAGACATGCATATACATTGTGTTGAAAATTCATGAACATTGTGTCGTGCATCCATGAACATTGTGTTGTACATGCTTTATATGATATATATTTTAACCTACAGATAAATTGGACATGTATGAATATCGTGTTATGCATTCATAAACATTGTGTTGTATATGATTTAAGTTTTCAAATCACATAAAGGCAAAATTATACTTTTGCTCTAAAGAAGAATTACAACAAGAGCTCTTAGGCCTATAGTGCAATATCATAATGTATTGAGCCCAAATTAAATTTTTTTTACTATTTTAGGGTCTACAATGTGATTCTCCCTTTTAAATATCCATTCACAAGTGACTTTCCATAAATTTACAAGTAACTTTATTTTTCTAAAATTTACAAATGATTATCCTTAAACTTAAATTCACAAAAAGTGGTAATGTGTATATTTATGAAACTATATATCTATTCATTCGTAATTGTTTTTTTATAAATTTATAAGCCATATTCCTTAAATTTGCAACAGACTTTTTTTGAATAAACTTTCCGCTATTTATTTCAATAATTAAAAATATTTTAATTATAAATAAAGACCATAAATTTTTTCATGAAAAATTAATAATTTGATATCTTTAATTGATTGCTATTAATATCTTTACAAGGTACACAATTGTTATCTTTCTAAAAAAAATCCATCAAGAACCATATAAACGGAAAGAAAAATCTGGGGAGGAAAAAGTCAAAGAGGATGTTGCAAATTTCTAGATCAATTAATCATAACAAAAA